CCCAAACTTCCACAAAATTTAAAACAGTAGAGGCTTGAAAGTTTTTCTGAGAGATACGTTTGGTATACTTAAAATAACAAAAGGGAGTTATACAGGTTAAATGCATAAAGTTTTCTAACTTTTTTTTCTTTTCAATTAATTTTCTAATATTGGCACCACTTTTCCTCTGGAGAACAAGTATCTTACTTTTTGGCATTTTCTGTAGTTGTCCCACTAACAGACTGCATAATAACCTCCACCAGCATCTTCTCCTGCAGGGTGCAGAAATCCTTCAGACTACAGACTTCTGAGCTGATATTTCTGATGTACAGGTCCTACTAAGAAATATCTGATGGGGAGTTTGGTACTTCAAGGAGACAGTGAGTGAAGCTGACGGCTTTGACAGAGGTGGTCCGGTCAACGGAGTCAGTGTTTCCTAGCCTTGTCTCCTCCAACTGCCTGTCCCGAACTTCTCCCGGGGTGAAACCTCACAGTGTCAGCTGAGGCATGGGAAGTGAAACATAATCATATTTTTCCTTCTGCTGCTTTTGTTAGAAGGACAGTGACATCCAGTAGAGGACAAGGTAGTTATGCAATTAGGAAAGGGGGGGATGCAATTTTGAACACCAAGAGTTGCTTGCTTTCATGGAAATTTAGTCAGAGCCCCGCGCCCTGCACAAGTGAAACAAATAGATTGTGACTAAGGGTAAAGGTAGCTTTCAGCAACTGGAGGATAAGCCAGAGAAACTGGATCGCTTAAGTACCTAGAAGAAGGTGGTTAGGTGTATCAGAAGACAGAGGTAAGAATGCACCAATTTGGATACCACATGTGGACCTGCATGGTTAGACAAAATACGTCCATAAACAACTGTCTGCAGGATGTGGACCTAATTTTCAGGATTATAAATTAAAGATGCACATAATATTGTAGCGTTATTTATGTTTACCTCAATGGTAATATTACTACAACTTAATTTTTATCTGTACACTCTTACTGTTGCAGTTTTTCCTGTTTTCTAACCTGCATTTTATTC